CAGTTTCCCTAACCTACATTGCTCTATGACCCATGGCACCTCTAGCACCAAAATACCCACACTTTCACATGTCTCATCAATTATAAAAACAAAAACCACCTTCCGCTTATTTGTGCATTAGCAGCCATCAGACCCCCTGGTCCTAATGGTTTTCCCTTCGTTCAAATAATTCATTTTCACATTGCACTTTTTTCAGCACGACGGTGCTTTACAGTTATTATTTATATAGGGAAAATAATGTCATTCAAATGGCAAAGCATTAGAACAACTGAAGTGAAATAATACTGTACGGGAACCGAATCACTCAATCGGACTTTATGTAGGACACCAGTGTTAACATCCCTGTTGTACTGTCCTTATGACTTGAACTTAATTATAAGGAGTGATTATAGCCTCAGGCTACCACGGTCTGTTTAAAGTGAAAATAAATCTCTTGGGACTTTTCCCCCAGCTTTCACGGCCTCCTTTCCCGTGTTGTGCATAACCCGTGCGTCTCCCGGGGGCTGGGCGGAGTGTCACCACAGCGTGCGCCCGCTGAGCCCTAGGCCAGCCGAGGCTGCTGGATACTCGAGCTAATGCGGGCTATAGGACACGGGCTATCAACCGCTCCTGAGCGGGGCAGGGCCCGGCTGCCCTGCCCAAAGCACGAGCGCAGCATTGGTGAGGAACGGTTCCCCGAGGGGAGGGCAGAAAGCGGGGAAGGGCCCGTGCGGGCCTGCAGAGCTACCCGGGGTGCTCGGGGGCCCTCCGTGCTGGAGAAGCGCAGCTCCAGCAAGGAGCCCTGCCTGCTCGAGCGGGCGGGAGCGCCAGGCACCGGGCCCCGAAGGAGCAGGGGCTGCGCTTCGTGCACCCAAACCAGGCCCCAACGCCGCGGGTTCCCAGCCGGCTCGTGAGGGGAGCCGCCCCGCGCGGGGCCGCGCCAGGGGGGCGGGGGGGGGGGGGGGGGGGGCCCGCCCCCCCCCTGCCGCTAAAGCGGAAATGGCCGCGCGCTCTTCGCGGTTTGAATTTGGCGCCCTGCTTTGCCATTGGCTCACAGAAGCAGCCAATGAGAGCCCGGCCGGATCGCAACGGTGCCCAATAAGCCAGCGCGCCCATTCTGCGCGGCCAATCGCAGCGCGGGCGGCCGCGCCGGCCAATGGGGCGAGAGCGGCGGCGGAGCGGAGTCTACAAGGGAGCGCGCAGCGCAGCTGGGTCCAGTCTGCGCCGGAGCCTCGCTCGCTGCCAGCCGCAGACGCCATGTCCGGCCGCGGCAAGAGCGGCGGCAAGGCCCGCGCCAAGGCCAAATCGCGCTCGTCGCGCGCGGGCCTGCAATTCCCCGTGGGCCGCGTGCACCGCCTGTTGCGGCGCGGGCACTACGCGGAGCGCGTGGGCGCCGGCGCGCCTGTCCACCTGGCGGCCGGGCTGGAGTACCTGACGGCCGAGATCCTGGAGCTGGCAGGCAACGCGGCGCGCGACAACAAGAAGACGCGCATCATCCCGCGGCACCTGCAGCTGGCCGTGCGCAACGACGAGGAGCTCAACAAGCTGCTGGGCGGCGTCACCATCGCGCAGGGCGGCGTGCTGCCCAACATCCAGGCCGTGCTGCTGCCTAAGAAGGCGGGCGGCGGCCCGGCCAAGGCCGGCAAGAAGAGCGGCGCCCAGCAGTCGCAGGAGTACTAGCGCTCCCGCTCCTCACCCCCCACAACGGCCCTTTTCAGGGCCACCCACCCGGCCGGAGAAAGAGCTGCGGATCCGCGGGGGGGTGGGGGGCCTGCCCGGCCCCGCTACGCGCGGTGGGCCGGGGCGCGTGGTAGCGTCGCCGGAGCTTGGCGCAAAAGCTTTGCTCAAAGCAGGTTTCGGGGCCGCTTGCGACCGCCCCAGGCGGCGGGAGGGCGGAAAGGAATCGCTTTGCCCGCGGCTACGCGCCCGGAGCACGGGGTGCTGTCGGCTCGGGGTCGGGGCCGTGACTGCCGTGAAAAACGCCCACATCTTGCTTTCCTTTGTCTGTTCATTTTGCCAAGAAGAAAGCTCACACCCTCCAGGAGCCTTTGTCTTGAGTGGCCAGCGCTGGAAAACATCTCTAAGCCTAGCTCAGTTTCTGCAGTGAGCAACATTTGTCCTCTATGACAAAGATGCGGTACCCAGGAGCCTCGGTGTTACCACGTCACCCAGCCAGAGAAAATTCTAGGTATGGCCACAGGCTCCACTGGCAGAACAGCCCCCATTAGACTGCAGCCAGACTCCAGGCTTCACCTCTGCACGTGGCAGATGTCAGATATTCTCTTCTCTAACAGGGTACAGCGAGGAAGTAGCCTGCTGAAATAACAAAGCCACTCATATAGCAGTTTTCAGTGTAGTAAGGATCTTACAGGATTTCCTGGGCTTATCTGTTTCTATTGATTGGATTTAGGCAAGGAAGTCAAACTTGTTCCGCTCTAAAGAGAATCCAGGATAAGCCTCACATTCAGGTTCTCCCTTAATTTTTATAGCACTTATCACCATTTCAAGCTTCTTTTTATATTCTTCTGTTACCTGAAAACAGTACAGAGTGTGTTCTTTGTATATAGAGGCTTGCCCTACTGGTTGATTAAACTCCCATTTTGTATATGCTTTAGTTGTCCTTGTAGTTTGTTTTCTGATTTGCAAGTAGCTCAAGCAGTTTCCAGACAGAAAGCATTCATCATGTGAAGGGTTTATTTGGACCTACCACTTGGCTAGAAACAGTGTAAATGGCAACCCTTCTTCTGAGGAAAGGCATCTTAAATGAACATAAATTAGAACTTTTTTAGGCTATTCAGTGGTTGTTACATTCAGTGGATATTGCACAGATGTAAAAAATTAACTTTCACTTGCAGAGCAGGATTCCTGTACAATGCAATGTAAATGTTTCTAGAAGGCACTGGTCCTTTCTGGAGCAGATGCAGACTCACTAGTGGAAAGTACAGTCCCATCTGTGGTCTTTATAGAAGGAACTGGCAACTAAATCTGGAAAGATTAGTAAAGTTCAACTTGTGTGTATTCTCAAGTCTAAACTTTCTACTGACTTTTAATTTAGAAGCTAAGTTCCTGATGTTGAACTTCAAGATAAACGTGCCCCGTTCCTGACTGACTGATTCTATCTGGCAACAGGTTACCAAATGGTTTTCAAATACAATTAAATTGGTGCCTGTTGCAGTTAAGTCCAATAATCAAAATCTCTCAAGTTTCACCCATTAAATTCTTTGAGTGACAGCAACACGAATTCTTCATGTTAAAGGTGAAGACTTCTTACCCTTTGAGCTTCTTTGCCAATTATTGGATGGCTTCAAGACTGGGCCCAAAGAGAATGCACACAAACTTCAGCTGGTCATGGAGCCTTCCCTAGCTTCTTTCAGCCTTTTAACAGTGCTGTCCTTGACTTAAGATTGTGTTCAGTTATTACTGTATTTTAAAATGACAGTTTTCAAGCTTTTTGGTAAATTTTCTAGGACAAAATTAAGCTGTTGAAATAAGACTTCCCAAAAAAGAGAGTCTGAGTAGGAGAAACACTAATACAATTAAGTCTTATCAACAAGAATCCGGACCCCTACAGGAACTAGTTTATTATTTGAAGTCTGACCTAAGACTTCAAGACTCAATGGGTGATTACTCAGGAGCCACAGAGGCTTAGTCCCCCATTTATCCATCAAACCTCCCAGCAAGATTGCAGGAATCATGCCCATGAGTGCTACTAATGGGTGGGTTTAGCGGGCATCATTGAGTTGCCTTGCCACATTGAGGATGTGCTTGGCTCCCTTGCTCAGCAGCAAGCTGGCTAGTTCGGTACCTAGCTTCTCTGCAGCCTCTTGAGCACGATGAGGAATGTTCTTGGCTGTGATACCAACGTGCTGCACATCATCATTGGGTCCATCTTCATTCTAGAAAGGGAAGACAATGAATAGTAAAGAGCAGGGCACAGTGGGAGTGCAGCTTCCATGTTCCAAAAGCTCCACCCCAGTATTCTAAAGGTGAGACTAAAAGACAAACAGGAAAACTACAAAGGGGCTGCTTTTGTTTTATCCTCTGACTTGGTTTGAGCCTTAAAACCAAACAGCATTTATTTACCTGCTGTGGGTAATTAACACTGGTCTGCATAGTTTCTCTCAGGCTATCTGATCCATCCAAGCTGTAGACAGCTCCTGTCAAATACAACTGAGGGAAACATAGGAAGAGGTAATTAGCAACCATAACAAACCAAAGTATGTCCTTTTTCAAAAACACAGACTCCAGTCTTTGGACATTATGGGAAGAAACTTAGTTCTGAGAAACTGTTTTGTATGAAAACCCGACGCGCTTCTGCGCAAATCGTTTCTGCCAGCTTGCATCTCTTACACCAGGGATGCTCAACCCCCAGCCTACGGGACTTCCCACAAGCCTGGAAATTTGGGGCAGGCACCACACCCCTGCTGCCAAAATTCCAGGCCTTATATGCTGGATCAGGCATTCAGTCCCCGTGTGTAGGGGCCAGCAGGGCCCTCAGATGCTTCGTTTTTAGCTTGCCATCTCAATAACTTGAAATCTTATATTCCCAATCTCCCAAAGGATAACACGTCTGTGTTCTGGGACTAGAAATCCTACTATACATATAGCTATAATAGGTAGATATGTTCCTCAGTCATATACAACGCTGACTAAAACAGATCAGTGTCACTGAAGAAATCTACATACATTAAGTCCTTCTCACCTGGGAGTCTTTCAGTAGGGTGCTGACTGCAACAGGGACGCTACATCCCCCCTCCTTAAAATAAAACGCAACAAACAATCGGTTACACACCAGTAGGAAGTGGCTTGGAGAAGCCCGAGCCAACTGTCACCCTTCCCTCAGAACCTCTATACATGCACATATCCACTGAGAAATATTTGACAATAATCTGTTTGGAGGCTGTGCCAAGGAAATCCAGTAGGCTCCCAATACAGTTACTTCAGTTCAGTTCTAATACAATAGTAGTTACTGCTTTCCAGAGGATGAGAACAGGTATTAAACCTACCAGATGTTTCATAAAGGCTCTCTCAGCAATGCAGCACAGCACTGTCTCCCCATCATGCAGGGCAGATACCATATCCAGTATCTCTTGGTCTTTGGCTCGAACTTCTATTGCTAAGGCACCCTGAAGGAAAAAAACATTGTCCTCTGTCATTGTGCATCTCTCTTCTGCATTACTCATGAAACATTAAATCCAGTGGTTTAGCAACAAACGTTTTAACAAGGAAATAAAGAGAAACTGAATTCACTGCCAGAGAGAGGATCTGGAGCTGGCCACAAGCACAGATCAGGCCTGATCTTAGCCAACTGGCTGAAAGTAAGTGGCCTGCACAATGACACCATTTTCTCCTACGCCACAATGGTAACCCCAATGCTATATACACAGCTACACACCATTATGGTTATACAAAGGCTGGAGAAGTCACCACATTCCCCAAACATCTGCAGTAAAAATAATGAATTTGAAATATTTTTATAAATGAAGGTGAGGGCATAGTAACAAGTGCCCCCTACTAGGCAAGTGGCTGTATGATGACAGTTCCAAACCAGGGACAGTGACTATGGGTGCCTATACACATACAGTGCAGCGGAACAGACTCGATTAATAGAGCTTGCTGGAGCACGGTAATTGCTGCGCTCCAGCAGACTCCAGTGTCACGTGCTATCAGCGTCCCTGTGCTAAAAAACGGCGGCAGGGGCGCTTAAACTAAAGCTCACTGCTCCAACACGCTGTAATTACAATTGAATGAGCTTCAGTTAAAATGCCCCCACTGCCATTTTTCAGCATGGGGATGCTGATAACCCGCGACAGCCTGGGTGCTTTAATTACAGCAGCTCTCAGAGCCACTCCAATTAAAGTGCCCCCGCAACTCCTCCCCATAGTACATGTATAATGCTCTATATTACTAAACCCCTAATGGACCACCTCAAAGCAAGAATGGTTTGGCATGGGGTCAAATTTGTTAGGCTTTAAGTAAGAACCAGAGTACTTCCAAAATGCTACTTGGACATAAACCAGCAGTCTGAGGTGGTAAAAAGTATCATAGTTCCTTCTTGCAATCTGAAGACACAATTATAGGTTTCATAGACATTAGGGGCTGGAAGGGACCTCAGGAGATCACTTAGTCCAGTCCCCCCGCCATAGGCAGGAAGTCAGCTGGGGTCAAGGGACCCCAGCAAGAAATACATCCACATGTTTTTTGAAAGAGTCCAGAGTAGGTGCTTACACTACCACTGCAGGGAGTTTGTTCCAGACCCTAGACATTCGCACCATAAAGAACGTTTTTCTTATGTCTAGTCTAAATCGGCCTTCTTGCAGTTTATGGCCGTTAGGCCTTGTTATCCCTTGGGGGGCTCTGGTGAACAGCTGTTCTCCCGGGTTCCGATGTACCCCTCTTATATAATTGTAGACTGCCACCAAGTCCCTCCTGAGCCTTCTCGTTTCCAGACCGAAGGGTCCCAAGTCCCTCAGCCTCTCCTTGTACGGCTACCACTGCAGGGAGTTTGTTCCAGACCCTAGACATTCGCACCATAAAGAACGTTTTTCTTACGTCTAGTCTAAATCGGCCTTCTTGCAGTTTATGGCCGTTAGGCCTTGTTATCCCTTGGGGGGCTCTGGTGAACAGCTGTTCTCCCGGGTTCCGATGTACCCCTCTTATATAATTGTAGACTGCCACCAAGTCCCTCCTGAGCCTTCTCGTTTCCAGACCGAAGGGTCCCAAGTCCCTCAGCCTCTCCTTGTACGGCCTTCCCTCCAGGCCTTGGATCATACAACTGGCTCTCTTCTAGACTCTCTCAAGCTTCTTCACATCCCTCCTGAAGTGGGGGGCCCAATACTGGACAGAGTACTCCAGCTGCAGTCTCACCAAGGCCAAGTAAAGTGGGAGGATGACTTCCCTGGTTTTGCTCGAGATGCATCAGTGGACGCACGCCAGAGTTTGGTTTGCTTGCCAGCCACAGCATCGCATTGGTGGCTCATATTCATCTTGGGGTCAGTCAAGACTCCAAGTCCCTTTCGGTCATGGTGCCAGCAAGCATAGCACTGCTGAGCCTGTAAGTATGTTGAAGGTTCTTCCTACCGAGGTGCAGCACCTTACATTTCTCTACATTGAAAGCCATCAGGTTTTGGTCGGCCCACCTTAACAGCACGTCCAAATCAGCCTGTATCCCCAGTCTGTCCTGCAGTGTGACCGCCCTCCCCCATAATTTGGTATCCTCTGCGAACTTGGCCAGTTCGCATCTGACTCCTTAATCTAAATCGTTAAATGAAGATGTTAAAGAGTACCAGCCCAAGTACCAAGCCCTGAGGGACTCCGCTGGTCACCCTGCGCCACACTGATTTGCTCCCATCGACTAGTAATCTTTGGGTCCGACCCCATAGTCAGTTACCTAGCCATCAGACCATAAGATGATCCAGGCCACAGTTCCCCAACTCAGCCATGAGGACATCATAGGAAACTAGGTCAAAGGCTTTCTTGAAATGACGTCCACGTTAAATTACAGTGTTTGGTTGTTGTACAATAATCAAATACTCAAATATTATATCAAATCACTGCTGGTTTTTAATATGCAGCAAGGCTTAGGACAAAGAAATCACAACCTACCTGGCCAACAGCATAAAGACAATCCTCAGGGTTTAGAATCTGGAGGAAATCAACACCAGGACTAATTAACATCGTAACTATAAGATGATGTATTTTTTCAGTTTAAAAAAAAAAAGCTAAAGAACAGAGTGTAGGATGAGACTGAAATGCTTTTCATAACAAAAAGCAAGTGCAGTATGCTGGCTCCCCATTTACACAGTAGGCGTAACAGCATCTAACTCACTGAGATGGGATACTCATCAGTAATTGTTACACACACACACACTTCTAAAGGGCTCTGTGAAGCATTCTAAGAATATCTGATAAGCAAGTATGTCTTCATTGTGCTATAAAAAACTACATGTGGGGTGCATGCTTGGAAGAAGGAAGGAATGGAATTCTCATTTGACTGCAATCCAATCGCACAATCATCTAGCGATGGACCCAGCAGATTCCATGCTCATCCATAATGGGGCAGAGAAGAGGTCCAAAGCAGAACAAGTTACCGGTCCGGAGGCAACTCTACCCCTTGTTGCTCTTCTCCTTACCTGACCAATCCGATTCTCCCAGCCCATCCTCCTCAGTCCAGCTGCAGCAAGGATTATAGCACTGAAATCCTCCTTCTCATCCAGCTTTTTTAAGCGGGTGTTTAAATTCCCTCTCTGTAGGAAGGGTTAAGAAAGAACAGAAATAGGCCTGACCGCTACCTCCAAAGCAGTGCCTTTGCTTGCAGTTCTCCTCTCTGGCCACCAGAGACTGCTACTGGAGTCACTACAAACAGCTGTCTATCCTTCATACTGCTCCCTTGTCCCTGCAGGGAGCAAGCTGCATTCATGTCCCGTCCCCTGGCAGCAGGAGCACATCAACCCTCTCCCGCCTCCCCCCATGGCACAGGGCTAAGCAGAGAACCTCATGAAGAGGCAGAAACTCCCACAGAAGTAGCAGCAGGGAAACCCACCAAGATCATCCACACCCAAGACAGCAGCAAGTTTCATAGATGCTAGGGTCAGAAGGGACCTCAATGGATCATTGAGTCCAACCCCCTGCCAGTGGCAGGAAAAAGTGCTGGGGTCATGTGACCAGCCAGGTGCTTGTCCAGTCTCCTCTTGAAGACCCCAAAGGTAGGGCAGAGCAGAACCTCCCTTGGAAGCCCGTTCCAGATTCTGGCAACCCTAACTGTGAAGTTCTTCCTTATGTCCAACCTAAATCTACTCTCTATCAGTTTGTGGCCATTATTTCTGGTGATTCCAAGGGGTGCTCTGGTAAACAGAGCATCTCTTAGTCCCTGCGTGCCGCCCCTCCCCTGGTAAATTTGTGTCCTGCCACAGGATCCCCCCCATAGCCTTCTCTTGCAGAGGCTGAAAAGGTCCAGGTCCCTCAGCCTTTCCTCATAAGGCCTTCCCTGCAGGCCTCTAACCATACAAGTGGCCCTCCTCCAGTCCCTCTCAAGGTTGTTCACATCCTTCTTGAATTGCAGCACCCAGAATTGGATGCAGTACTCTAGCTGTGGCCTGACCAGTTAACAGAAACCTATGGCTAGATGTGGGGAAGAAGACAACGGGCACTCTAAAGGCTCAGAGAGAGCAGCAAGCTGCAGTATGCTTTTCAAGAAACTTTGAAGGTCTGTGAAATGAATACTTCATTCATTTTTTGAAGCCAGCTCCTAATATGATATCTGTCCTCTTAAAAGCTGGATCACCATTGAGCCCCTTCCTTGTAGTCTCAGTAAAAGAGACACTGGTAGAATGAGCCAGGAGAGACCAGACAACTTTCCCCTAATAGCTTAAGAGAGCAGTGTGGAATATTGGATTGCACTGGATAGTGGAATCAAAAAGCGCTCCATAAGAAAAGGATACAATATCCCTGAACTCCAGCTGAGGAAAGCTCCTTTTGAGCTGTGCTGCACGCCGAAGTGAACTGGTTCCAATGACACTACAGATAAAACAAGAACCACAGTGAAATGGTATTAGACTCATTCACTCACTTCCAACTAAAAACAATATAAGAGCTTCCAAGGACACAGGTTTTGCAGGTCTTTAAATTCAGGCAGATGGATCTGGGAACCTGCCTATCATTCATATTCCTTGGCAGAAGGAAAAATTACTTGGGAGAGCTTTGACACACGGCCTCACTAATATGAGATGCAATCAAACAACCCAACTTGTGCTAGACTGCCAACCTCTGAACCACTGACCTGTGAATCCTCAGTCAGCTGCTGTCTTAAGAATGCAGACATTGTCAACTGATCACCTATTATCTGACTACAATCAAAACTTGTCAAATATTCCAGGAAGCAGTCACGAATATCCTTGTATAGGCAGTACCTATCTTGTTAGTGCATCATAGTGTCATCTGTTTGCAAGGGCTCCTTAACCCACAGTCCTGCAGGAGTCAGGATACACTCACATGCCATTTAGAAGTTGGCACTTCCTGACCTGCTGCTCTCTCCTGAGCTCTTTCAGCCTCCTTTCCCTCCCGCACAGCCACGTGAGGCTGTAGAAGTTACTTTGTGCTGAGGAAGTACCCAACCAGCGGCACAGAAAGGCTTCTCCTACTGGCCATCTGCTGTGATTCCAGGCATTTCCAAAAGTAAACAGCAAAATGCTTGAAGAGGTGTCCTGCTACCTACTTAGCATACCTACATTTAAAAAACTAACTTTTGTCTTTTGCATTTGCTGTGTGTGTTTTCTTTCTTTATTTTTATTTATTTTGTAACTGTATATGCTGACCTTGGAATTTTGAGATGAAAACTAAGGAAAAGAACTGTATGGTCTTAAATATCACTTACATTTACACTTACCTAACACTAATAGTTATAAAAAACATTACACCTTTTTTTTTGGTAGTCTTGAAGTGATGTAGCCACAATGGTCCAGGAAATCTCTTAGATCCTTAACTGGACCAACTGCATGGTTGGGATAGAATTACCCAAGGAAGAGTAGCTTGATACCTAAAAGCATTCCTAAATCTATCCCAAACATGCAGCTGGTCCAATAACAGATCTCAACCATAAAAATTCTTGCCTCGTTACAGTTTTTTAGAATTGAATTTCACTGTTTCATGATAGCAGTTACGTAAAATGTCTGAGAGAAAAAATAATCCTGTAATTTCTAAAGAGACGATGCTAAAAAGGAAATATTTTTTTCTGGAACTTGTCCTCAAAACAAATCTTGCTCCCTGCATATTCCCTGGACCACCAGGCCATAACACAACAGCACTAGCTAATCTCAGTGTCAGCCAGGGAACATAGATTTAAAAAAATCAGCTCTTGGTAACTGTTGCTACTATAAGGTTGCAATGGGTGAACCCAAGGGGAGAACCCAAAAGACTAACAGAGAAGTCAGTTGTGGTGTGGGGCTCAAGAACACTGGGCCAACCTGATCCCTGCTGCAAGCCTCTGAACTGCAATGAGCTAGATCAGGGTTGTCCAACTTCTGAGTGGCCAGGGGCCACAGGCTTCCTCCAGCCACACACTGTGGGCTGCACTCCCCTCCCCCAGCTGCTTGCCACATAGCACACAGCCCCCCCCATGACCCTGCGCCAGCATCCATGCATCATACTTAGGTTTGGCAGCACTCAGTTTTTACTGATAAACATGGATGAAAGTTGATTTTACCTGATGCTTTCAAACTGACACAAAAATATTTCCATTGCTGCAGATGAGGTAGGGGCAGCCCCAACTGCACCACCCGCGCACTGCTCCCCTGACAGCAGCTTGGGCAGCCGCTGCAGGAGCGGAGGGCCATGCTACTAGGGTTGTGCTGAGAGTGGGGGTTGGAGGGGCAGAGCCCAGGAGCCTCGTGCCAACAGCCACTCATTCTGCCCAGGTCCCAGCGAGGTATCAGGCATCAAACTCCTGACAAAACCATCCTGGCCCCTGCATGATCAGTACAGGGGCAAACTCCCAGCAAGCCTGGCCTGGCCCCTGCATGATCAGGTATACTTTACTGATTTATGGATATTCACTTTTTATATTTTAACATGCAGGTAGAAGCAGGCAGCAAAAGCTAGAGAGGAAGCCTGGAGATTCTGGTGGCAGCAGCTGGAGAGCAATGGGGGGGGCAGGGGGAGGGAACCCAGACCTGGGCCTGCAGATTAAACCCTCAAGGGCTACATGAGGCCTGCAGACTACCAGCTAGACAACCCTGAGCTAGATCACGGCTGTAGTGGGCCCCTGGGCTGTGCTTTGTGCCTTTCGTCCCAGCCTTCACAGAATTTTGAAAATAGAAAGTGCCAGGAATTCATTTGGAGAACTCATTCATTCCCTCCACTTACCTCTTGTCAGGGAGGGCATTGAGTGTTTTCCCACAGCTCTTAGGATGAAACACAACAGCATCATGTGGGTTTTCCCTTCTGGAAAGAAAACACAGTATAGGCACGACATTATTTAGTAGGAGGCTACAAAACTGAGACAGTTCTACTCTGTGGTGAACTTGTCTCCACCAAGTTTCATTATTTTCAGAAACAAAGAGCACTTTTTCCCTTCTCCATTTTAAATCCCTGCAAATGCAGACATGACAAAGATGCTGACTGCAACTCTGCTTCTTCTCCACTCGTCCGGTGTGCAGTCTGACAAAAGGCAAATGGCCCCCACTCCGCACCGCCTGCTATGACCCCTTGATTAGACAGCATAACTGGCTCTCAATAGCTCCGAGTCCTGACACACCCTTCTCAATGCACCCATTCCCATGTCAAGAAGAAGGGTGGTGAATTAAACAATAATGGACCTATCTAGTGAGGACTGGAGCAAGATCCAGTACACTCATTATTTCATAGATTTCATATTTCATAGACATCAGGGCTGGAAGGGACCTTGGAAGATCATCGAGTCCAGCCCCCCGCCCAAAGGGCAGGGAGTCACCTGGGGTCATAGGATCCCAGCAAGATAAGCATCCAGTTTCATCTTGAAGGTGTTCAATGAAGGCGCTTGAACCACCTCCGGTGGCAGGCTGTTCCAGACCTTGGGGGCTCAGACAGTAAAGAAATTCTTCCTTATGTCCAGCCTGAAGCGATCTTGAAGTAGTTTGTGACCATTCGACCTCGTCATCCCTTGGGGCGCTCTGGTGAACAAACGTTCCCCCAGATGCTGGTGGTCACCCCTGAGAAACTTGTAGGTGGCCATCAGATCACCCCTGAGCCTGCGCTTCTCCACGCTAAATAGCCCCAGGGCTCTCAGCCTGTCATCGTAGGGTCTGCTTCCCTGACCTCTGATCATGCGCGTGGCTCTTCTCTGGACTCTCTCAAGCTTCTCCACATCCTTTTTGAATTGTGGAGCCCAAAACTGGACACAGTACTCCAGCTGCGGCCTCACTAAGGCCGAGTACAGGGGGAGAATGACGTCCCGAGATTTGCTTGAG